TCGAGAAAACTAAACGCTTGTACCATACACATACCATACATAAATTTGCAGAATTCAGGAGAATTAGGGAAGTTTCGGTCCCGTGATATCCATTATGGTTAGACACCTAACCGTCAGCAGTGCAATAACCCCCTTGGGACCTGTAGGAGCGCCAATAATCCTTCAGTCTCGGAGCACCCATCATACGTTATCGGGGATTCAAAAGGGACGAAGGCTTCAGTTTTTATCGGGTCTAAACCATCAACAAAATGAGCAAATTTTGGAATATTTCTTCCTTTCAGTGAATTCAACCCGTGGATTTGAAAGGCCAGTCTTTGATTGGACCAACCAATCACTGATTTTCTTTTCTGATATCATTTGGAAAAACCCCAATATCCGATCGATTAATCCGGCGACCTCGACGTTTTAAAGGCAGACTTGTTTGATCACGTATCCACCATGGGTTAGAGTTTAACACGAAAAATCCTATTGTATTTCCGACTCAGGACCCGTATAATCCTCCTAATTGACACAGTTCGAAAATCTGACACTTTGCAGGATATCTAACGAATCTTAGCGAATATACACTCATTTGCCCCCAAGAAGGGCGAAACCGGTCGTGGGCTGTAGATGGATTTTCAGCAACCTTATGAGTAGTACATTACAAAGATATACATCCAATGAATCTTATTTCATTCAAAGTTATTGTTCGTTTGCGGTTACCCATAGTGAATCGTCCTGCTTCTTACAGAAGCAAACGTTTTCTCGTATGTGGCTTGATTGAATTATCGTGCGTTTAAAATTTGCCGTTATCGGTATGCGGGGAACCTTCTCCGATTAGAGCTGAGTTGTAACGCAAAAAGCTACAAATGGTAACAGTGTCGCTCAGATTTCATCGGTTTAAATCGTCATCATAATAAATCGAATTAAAGAGGTGCATGCTAGAACAGCCACCATATAAGAAACCAAACTGTGGGTCGAGAATCACGAATCTTTGGAATTCTGATGAATTTCCTCAGTTACTGTGCCGGATGGTGTAGCCAAAAAGTCTAAATTCAATAAATTGTACTATTTTAAATTGAAAAATACTTATAGTCTAAACAAAACTCTTGGTTTCAAACTTTCCAGTCCATATGCTCGGACAGAAGTACTTTTCACTGATTTTATTCTCTATTTTTCCTGTGGCGTGAAAATGTATGCAATTATTAGGAACGACCCAATTGCATTAGTTTTTATCCCTGTGGGGCTAATATAGTCCATCGGAAAGGCTTTGCAAAGCCTTATCAGCTAAACACTTGCGAAGCCAATTGTTGAAAGCGCGCTGAACGGCTCAATATATTGATCTGGTCTGAGTGCATGTCGATAAAACGGGTTGTTTGAACGCCTCTGAGTTCATGTCGATAAAACGGGTTGTTTGAACGCCATGCCTTCACATATTTTACGCATCTCGGCACCAGTCAAGGAGTTGCATTATTCCACTTTTGCGTTTTCCAAAAACAAGAACTACGGCCATTTGGTATTGCACTGATATGTTGTTGGAACATTCACACGTCGCAGACAGAAGTACAGTTAATACTCTCAGTCCAGTTATTACTAGTGTAACGGTGAGGGATGCATGGGGTGATGGGGAGGCATGCGAGTAGTATTTTTGTCCTTGAAATTTCGCTTTGCGTCTCTTTAAAAGGGGGGATCTGATGCGGAATTTGTGGAGTTGCTTTGTAACATTTGCTAGGATTTGAGCAATGAATGGTTGAAGTCAATGAACATCAGGAGAAGATGAATGCCCAGTTTTTGTAAGCAAGATGCAAATAAGAGTTTTGCTTCACTGCCCAACAGTCTTTAACCGGTCAGTTGGCATTTCCTAATAAATAACTCCGCAGCGAAGGCCTTCTTTCTTTCACGAGTATGAAAAAGCAGACGCTGCCTTCCTACAGCTAACCGGATGAGTGAAATTCCGACTCACTTCCGACTAGAGATATTCTTTCGTACTCATGCGCCCGAACATCGCCGAACTTAGCCTAATCAATAAACGATCAATATATGATACCGCTGTTAGTGTGCCTACTTATATGGTCTCTAAAGTAAGCAGGATATCTGTATGCTTTTTCCTCTGCGCTACAGGTATCTTCAGAGCCTGTCGAACCCTGTGCTACTTTTCAAAGTATCTGGTTTCTTACGAGAAATTCGGATGGAGTCAGCCATCAGTAGACTGTATGACACTGCGTTCTGGAGATCAGTTGCCCATATTGCACATTACTGTCGCCCAGAGGTTTTTTGTGAAGCATGGTGGTCTAGCTGGTCTAGCGAAATTCGAAAATAGAATGAATTCGCTAATTACTGTACAATTTCTAAGTACAGTCTACCTGCCGGTATCACACACTTGAAATTTAACGAACACACACGTGTACCGTTTGTATGTTCTCGTGCGTCCATTTACATTTTGATGACGCTGGATATCGGATTTAAACTGCCGAGCATGCATCTAAATTGGCACTTACAACAAGAAGTAACACTACATTGCCCATTTTACTCTATATCCTCCCGCCTCACCGGTTTGCCCGAATAGTCACGATGGTCAAAAAGCTTAGAACCCGAGAAAGGATATTTTTTCATCAAAGTATCTATATTTAATCACAGAGCGAACGAGGCTGATCAGTGGCGAACCTATCCGCTCCAAACGCTGTTTCTTTGAATGCTTTTTTTCAAGTAGCCAGATGTAATTAGATTTACCATCGAAGTATCTATATTTAATCACAGAGCGAACGAGGCTGATCAGTGGCGGACCTATCCGCTCCAAACGCTGTTTCTTTGAATGCTTTTTTTCAAGTAGCCAGATGTAATTAGATTTATCGGTCACTTGGGGACTGTACGCGAAAAAAGTGTTTACCGACTTAACTGGTTCACAAGTATTCGCTGCGATTCAGCATTGTTCCTCAGTGAAATTTGTTTGTTGTTTTACTGAATAACTTGCCCCGAGGGCAATCTCTCGTCTCTACCTTTTCAAAAATGCTAATCAACCTAAACTGTTGTCGGTTCTTTGCGGTGATAAACTCCACCGTTTCATACGGTTAGAAACGGGCACTTATTCCGTGCCAATGGAAAAACGAACACTGCTGCCTGATTAAAATATTCAGCCGGAACCATACGTCTATAAATTTAATAAGTTAACTGCACATAGAAAAAGAAAGATTTTTTATGTGTAATGGTGTACTAAGAATATTCCTGTGATGTTAGACCGTTTTGGAATGAAGTTGATAACTTTTGCGCTTCATGAAAAACGGCTATTGGTTATTTACTGCCTTTTACAACGTAGTTATCAAATACTGTATTGACGACGCCCCTTTTTTCTGAGCAAGATCAATTCATAAAATTAACTCACTGGATTAGAGTGGTAACCAATAACCTGTAGTTTTATTGAATTACTCATTAAAACTCACCCTAAATCATCTAATTTGGCAACATGCGTACTCACCCAATAAAAGCGGATTGAGGGAAGAAAAATAAAGGGCATATGACTAACATCCAAAGTCCGCTGACCGTGTCTTGTTATACCAGAACAACTCAAGCGTCAAACGGTTTACGTAATACTATTCTCCAAAGCCCGCTTTATGGGCGGGAGTTGAGGCGGATTACTTGATGTTCCAGAACACGGATTGCAAATGCCCTGTCAAAATAAGATGACTCACCAATTTTGAGATTGAATGATCTGTTTTGATCAGATGGCCAATCTTTATTGATCCGCGCGGAATTTGAATAATAGGCTGAGCAGCAGCAGCAGTGGCAAATGGAATTGACTGGGAATAATTCAATTGTACAATATTATTAGAATTCGACCATGTGGAAGCTACAAACGAACTGGCCTCAGTAAATCTACTGACAGCTAGAGTGTGTGTGGGCAACGGGTGGCATAGACGTGAAACAAATTGATATGACGACTGATCACGCCTTGGGGTGCTATCACCGTGGAATTCAGCAGAGCATGCTGGAATGCATTTGTTTAGCGGATAGAGATTTCTCTTCGGTTGACTGGATTTGCTTGGAAAACTGCGTCGTTGTTCAAATAGTGGGAATTTCTGCTTTGAACAGTTCTTTAGCGTGTGCACGTCCACACTTTTATGAGATTCATTCAGTAGGTTTCCGATAAATTCAGGAACTGTATGTCCAACGCTGATTCCATTAGCATTGGCTGGACAAATATGACGCAGGGATGGGGATCCTGGTAAATAGGCGAAAGAGTCAACCGGAGTCCTAGGGGTCGGATGAGAAGAACAATAAGAGAAGCCCAGAGGGACAAACGACATAAATGTTTGCATGTACATTTATCACATGTATCACATAATAAAAAACGCTCATTTGCAAATCGATTTGGTTTTCCTCGAGATACTCAACTGAATCTCTCGTTTATGATATTCTGCAACTGAATGTGCTGCACACGGGCCGCCTCATGATTCAGTTGGCACGATATTCGAGATATCGCAGTATATTTTCATAAAGTAAACTACTCACAAGGTTGCTGAAAACTCTTCCACAGCCCACGACCTTTATTGATGGGCTCTAAAATACTGACCTAACTTAGTGGATCTATTCAGGCGAGCTCGTATAATTGGGGGCCTTGCGTTGGGAATTTCCTTGATACTGCTTCATCCGAGCCGATAAATGCAGTGTTACAGTAGTTTTTCAAACATTTTGTTCCAAATCTTCTGCATCACAGCTGGAGATTAGTGCAGCGGGACTGATTTTAGCTTGGCAATAATGAGTGGCCGAATACGTGTAATCCTTTGTCGTTGGACGCAGAATGCTACCGCAGAACAATGTTGTCAACTTGATGCCACGTTCACTTGAAACTCACGCAACGACAGACTATCTACGCAGCTGAATCGGGACGAACGGCTATCCACTGGTAAACCGGCAGAGGGGGTAAAGAAGCCCGAGAAGTAGCAGAAGTATGGTGCTGTTCCCTCGCCGTAATCTCAGCTCTACATGCAATCGGTTGTGATGTCGACTTTTTGGTCCACCAATAGATGATCATCTCCTATCGAGGGATCTGCTTTCCTCAATCTGCGAAGACTGCTATTGGACTGAGACTTCCTAAGGTCACAGTCAGTGACTTGTGTTTGCTTGCCATTGTGAGGTGTCTGCGTACTTATGACACTTTTATGCGTGGCACATGGCGTTAAGTGCACTTTTTGCCGTTTAACCTCATACCAGACCCAGTATGACGGATACTTCGTGCCTGATTGTGCTAGCGCTTACCGCGCCTTGAAGAGCATTCACCATTGTTTGTCATTTCTTCGGTTGTTGGTCTTTAGACGCGTGTTTCCTTGGCAAATTGTTTATATACTTTGGGATTCATCTCATCTATTGGTTTCATGAATTCGAATGAGAAGTTTCTCTATTTTCACTCATACTCTCCCATTGCCCTTTCGCATTCGTCGCGTGCGACCATTCTCTTTAGAAATAAATGATAATCATTATACATCAACGGTGATAGCATCTTTATAGGTTCTCACCGTTAATTGATGCTGGTTGACCTGTGGACCAAGCGCAAGGACATCATCCGAATTCCGCTTCACAGATACTTGAAACTAATGAGCACAACGTTATGAAACATTTGTGGGAGCTTAGGTTGAACTTAGCCCAAGGGTCAGACCCAAGAAAAGAGTAGGTTTATTTTATTCAGAAAACCAGGCCTGCACTATCTATATAGACACTGGAACTACGGCAATGATCAGCAACACTGAAGGTATCCCCTGATCTGGAAGTGAATTACCACATCAGGTTTCATCAAATTAGCACTGAGAATTTGCTCGAACGGCACGCTGATAGCCGAGCCATAACGACCAGATCATGTATATGCCAAATTAAGGTGTTTGCCGAGTTATTCTTGGAAAGCTTTATGGTTGATAAAAATCGGGTCAGTTGTGAAGACATCTTCCCGTTTGATTAACACACAGAATCAAAATACGTGGATAACTAAACACCTTCTCAAGACGCATATGCCCTTTGATCTCGGACCCAGCTTCAGATGTTCATGGGATATGTATATGACAGAAAATTAACGGGTTAGTTAGCCAGTATGAATGGAAATGAGATAACCAATATTCATTAGCAAGCAATAGATAAAAGTGGGACAAAGCTGAAGGCAACTTATAGTAATCAAAACTATTTGAGTACCGTTTGCTAGGTTCATCAGGGTAGTATAACTGGTCAAAAAGCCACATTTCATCAGCCAGAAAAGACTGTTGCTCAGCACTGAATTTGTGTATCTTCTTTTCAGCTGATAACACTGATTTGCTGGATGCTAGAATGTATCCGAAACACACACAGCCACCCACCACGACCGGAATCAAGGATCTCACTGGAATGGGTTTCATTTTGTAACTTGTCAATAGCATCAAATTTCTAGTTCATCAGGATGATCTGGAGTGCTTGAGGCTACTAGATTTTTTCCCAGAAGGTGTACGTCAAGATGTACGTCTAATCGGTCAAACATACAACGAACTTTCCAATCAAGAATAGTTAGTACTGAGATCCATCCTGTATTCATTAAGTATTCTCCGTTTTCTCTTTCTCATTTGGTCTTCCTGACTACCAGTTTTCTTAATACTAAGAGTTTTGCAGTACACTTCACACTCCTTGGAGTCGACGACTCCAACTAACTTCTCCACCTAGACATACCCAGACCTAGATGGGCTTCCCAGATTGGTGATAAGCAAAGGAATGCACTACTTGTAAACACTAACAAGGAATCTACAATCAAAACATGTGCAGGCACGGCTAATCGGAAACTAGTTTGACAAAACACCTCGAACACTTTAGGTGAGCCTGGCGGATTTCTGGACCACGGTTGGATATCATTAGTACTATTGTAACGGCCGATGCTACTGATCCGGCACGCGAGTAGTATGTGGCTTTCTCGTAACTCCACTCGCGTCTGATGGAAGGTGGAGTTTATTACGGAACTAGTGGAACTGTTGTGCAGCGTCCGTTTACGCTCACGTGATAGTCAATGTATAACTGCAAAAGTTCAAGTAGATACATGAGGATGGTAAATTTTCTAAAACAAGGTGCTTATGAGATGTTTACGCTTCTGTCCAATAGCTTGTGACTCTCATCCTTACGTCACTAGGGTAAAACTATTTTGGATTACGAAGTACGAAATTACCTTAGGCATTTTTCTACTACATACACAGCCATCAAGCGTTAACGATATGTACAACGAAACATTTATTTCACGTCCCTTGATTTTCCACAATATCATGCACGCATTATTTTGACTGAGGTCCAGCATATCAATTCCGACACTGACACTTGGCAACAGAAACCGCTTTTGGGACCAATTTCTGAAGGCATTTAGAAATTTGGAATCGAAAGCAGAATTTGAAAGCCACTCAGAGGACACAGGTGAAGGCGAGTGTGTTCCTGTTCGACTCACCTTTATTCCTCATGAGCCTTGTTCAGTCAACGTGGTAAATCATACGAGTACCGAATTAACGCACTCATGATTACTAGAAGCACTCACAGAAAAGTCTAGTGTTTGAGCGCCTTTCAACCGATCGCCTTCTGATTCTCTCCAAATTTATTTTTCGATTGCTGGCTAAACCAAGGTCGTCGAAATTTACTGAGTATGTGATAGAGAGAGCTATAGTGTTAAGCATACGGAAGTAACATTGAGACACAATAGATCCTTTTCTTCACAGTACGAACTATCGGCATCTTGTTCCGACATTTATTAAGGTGACTACTACGTACGTTATTTACATTCCTATGGCACTCTGAATTCTGATGAATTGTATTTGCCGTTGAAAGCATGCAATACTTTGCCAGTATAAATCAGTATTTGTTTTAGAGCAGGCAAAAACAAATCGACGATTGTTTGCAAAAGAGTGCACTAAGATGCCGACATTAAATCGCTGCTATATGCTGCCCTCTACACTCAGCAAACAAGATAAACCCCTAGCCGTGAGCCTTTGTCACGTTAGTTCCTAAATTACTTACTATCAAGTCACTTTCTCCCAAGATGATCCATCGAATATACCAGTGTACACTAATCAATCCTTTCAAAGTTGTAACTTGCGTGTACAAACGGGCAAGCGTTACCCTATTCCGACACATTTACATCTTGGTAGTCTGTCGGCTTTACACAAGTGAACCATGAGAATTAGTTCCTCATCTTATTCAATCTTCTGATAGAATCTGATAACCCTGACGCAGTAACTCCGAGCAGATACGCCACTGAGGACAACAGGTTTTGGCTTGTACGTCCTCTTAACACTCAGTCAGCTATGAACTGGACGCCACGTTACAAACTATTGGTGATCGCTGCAATAAATAGTTTCTTTTTCAATCCCATTGTACCAGAAATAAGGTAGATTTTGTCTCTCAGGATAATGGTTGTAAATCCTTGTCTTCATAAAACAAACTACTCACAAGGTTACTGAATACTCTCCGACAGCCCACGACCCGTTTCGCCCTTCTGATTTGGACTCATCAGGTAGGTGCAGTCCCCGAGTTTCGTCAACCTTATGATCTACTTGAACCCGACTTGGACTGTTTTCGAGAAATACACTCATTTGCAAATCAACTTGGGTTTTCACGAAAGCCTCAACTGAATCCGTCCTGAGAGATTCAATTGAGTCTCTCATGAAAACCAAGTTGATTTGCAAATGAGTGTATTTCTTAAAAATTCTTGTTATTAGAAACTGAAATGTCTCAAATAATCGACAGAGACACGGATCTTCGTCTCTGATCGTCTGTTGAACGACTATCAGAAACTTCCATGTAAAACTAAGTAAGTTAGGAAGCAAGGGGTCAAATGTGAAAGAAGCTGAATTTTTCACTTTTTTGTAAAAAAAAGTTTTCTCATGTTTACATCCTATAATTATAAACAACAAGGGGTACTTTTCCCCCCAATATATTATCAACCCGCAGGCAAACGCGGTTTCGTGGAGGTGCGCGCGCATGCATACATATTAGTATTGTCAAAAAGCCAGTTGCGCTGCAATTAATTTATTCAAACGACAGTCAAATCTCTTCCTCTCTCTCTCTCCCACACACCTTAATTCAATCTCACTGATCCCACATCCCGCGGCCACACTCGTGTGCCGTTATCTCCAATTTTTCATCCTCCCACTCTTACTTTTCAGACAAGACCATGCATGCTCATTCGCGCTATCTCGTCGGTGCATCATTGTGTCGAGCCCTGTAGATTACAACCTCCGTCGGATTGTGTGTGTCTATCGACCCGTTACTCAATCAGACATTGGGGCAACGGGACAAAGTTAGCCCAACGGATCCTCGTGCAAATGTCCGAACTCCGATCTACTCACGCAACGGTTGACTGATTTGATGGAATCATCCAAAACAACCCTCGCTGTCTCGCGCGCGAATCTCTACCACTGGCTCCCTAGAAACTTGAATGTTTTCAAGCTCCTGCCAGCTCAACAGCCACCCGCAACCCATATAACTACAGTCGCTGTGACAAAAAAAAGTATCGGTCAAGCGGGTCACGGCTGGAAACAGTTTGTCTGGCTAGTCAACAACATTTGTGGCGCCTTCGAGTAGAAATTGACATCGTTTCGGACGGGTAGGGTGAAAATCCAATTAGAAATAAGGATGGGCTTTGTCGTCGTAAACAGGTCGCGAGGAATTCAAAAGTGATGATTAGCTCGAGAGAGGGAGAAGAATCTCCCCTGGTACTTGTGGAAGGAAAGCAGCGAACTCGAGAGCAAAAAACATAGACGGCTCACAGTTTTATGTACCTAGCAGGCAGAAGGTTGCTTTCATTATAGTGCAGATTTTTTTCACAGCTCAGTTTTTTTGTGTTCAAAAGAAAGAATGATGTGCGCAGACGAAGCTAGCATCCCGCTTATATGACCAAGACTTTTGGTATTATACCGAGTCCCAGTTAAATTCAGTAAAATCCACATGGTTTCTCTGCTTTACTAGGTGCTTCAAATTAAAAGGATCTGGAAGAAAACGATGTAGTTAGACATACATGGTGGCCATGTTCGATTTTTTTCGCAACCTGGTAGAAAGCGTATTCCGCCAATGCAGTTATGGAAAAATTGCAGGCCACAAGTGAAGCAATGTTGCTGATTCACGTGTTGACAAAACAACAACTAAAACTAAACGAGCGTGTACGCCACTTTTGTTCACATTTCGCTTGTTCGGCGACGAAACACTGTGCGTACAACTTAGGCCAACACACATCACCTTCCCAGTTTTGTTTTGCTGTTTCAGGGCCCGTTGAGGACTGGGTTTGACCGAGTGCTTGGTGGAAGTCAACAAACTGTCTGATTGGAAGCACAGGTCCACCAGTACCTAAGGCGAGTGTGAATATAACTTCTGAAGGCCATTTTCATCCGTCCAAGCAAAAGCCCTGACTTTATGTTGGGGTGAGAAATCTATTGCATTTTTCACCGACAGCAGGATTACTAACACGAATTCGAATAAGTAAGGGGGTCGCTGGGAATTTTCGATTAGCAGCGATGCTTCGACGAGAGTTGATTTTAATTTTGCTTTTTGTATGCTACAACTAGACAAAAAGCATCATATTTTAAGGACGCCTAATTAAACTGGAAAGAAACGGGAGAACTGCTGATATATTCTGGGTCTAAAGAGTGCTCCAGAAGAGCCAGAAGTAATTTGCAAAAAAAAGCGCAAAATAATGCTCCGCTTCGCAAATCTGATAATTTGATCAAGCAAAGCTGTTTTTCATGAAGGAAACTACTCACAAGGTTGCTGAAAACTCTCCGACAGCTCACGACTGGTTTCGCTTTTCTGCTTCGGGCTCATCAGGTAGGCGCAGTCCCTGAGTTTCCATCAACCGTATGTGCTACTTGAACCCAAATTGGACTATTTTCGGGAAATACACTCATTCCCAAATCACTTTGGTTTTCACGAGAAACCCAACCAAATCTCTCGTTTATGACGTTCTACAACTGAAACTAAACTGCGATATCTCGAGTATCGTTCTAACTGAATCATGAGGCGGCCTGTGTGGAGCACATCATAGAACATCGTAGAACATCATAAACGAGAGATTTAGTTGAGTCTCTCGTGAAAACCAAATTGATTTGCAAATGAGTGTATTTTTCACGAAGTTGTCTTCATTTGATAATAATGTTTTTTTCGCACAGCATTCTATTTAGCAACAAAACAACAGCCTCCTTTTGTTTTTCCGACTTATCGACATATCTAAAGTAAAGTTTTATGGTTCCGGTATCACTGAGGGTGTTTGGAGAACCGGTTTGTTTGATCTTGTTCTATGACACCAACTCTCGTCACAACAGTTTGGGTCCTGCTGCTCAGGCAAGATTGTCTCTCAAGTTAAAAATAAGTTAGGTTTTATAATTTTGAACTTGGAGCGCTCCAGATTAGGCTAAAAATTCCTAGTAAAAATTCTTCTGTCGTAAAAACAACTTTGACTGTATTCCATTGTGCCTCACATGTCATTTAATACGACAAAGTTTATCAATGTACACTTATTGGTAGCGTATTCTTTATGGGTCTTTATCGACCTCACAATCGGTACAATATATCAAGCAAATGACCGCCATGAATACGCCTTGATTTGATACAGAAAGCTTCATTCATAGCATAAACAAGGAAACATCGTATCCCATGGCAACGTTGCTGTAGTTTGTAAAATTTTTTAACTTTCTCTTGCCTTCATATGTTTTTCCTTCTGCAGAGAGAAGTGCGTCCATCTGCCTTAAAAGCCTCACAGTGCCTGTAGGTCTTTGATCACCAAACTTGAGTTTGTCACCACTAAACAATGTTATGACAGCGAGGTTGCCAGGTGATATTGGGCTTCCGGAAAAGCGACTGAAAGACTGATTGGCAAATAGCCATAACCGGTTGTGTTGAAAATCCAAATTAATTTGCAAAAGATGTTTTCTGCGCCCCCATCACACTTGTTACGAAAGAAAAAATATTAGAAAATACACTATGGTAAAAATTGTGCGCGAACGGTCTTGAAAGTGAAATATTTCTTCTGGTGGGTTGTGTGAAGAGAAGCGGATGTACTGGGGTGATCTCTGGCAAAGTTTTCTGCGTGATTTTTCAAAAGAGTGCATAAATTTATAAAACAATGTGCTTATTATTGAGTACTCCTTCGAATACACCGCATCACGTCTTCAGTGAAAATGGCCTCTATTGTTTCAGAACTCGTTCACTTCACTGTTGACTAATTACGTAAGATGTAAAAACGAATGCCTTATAAAAGGTTTATTTTTCTCGCAGGACATATTTTCCATCTGCGGTGAGATCTGATTTCGGACATTTTGAATATTTGGTTCTTAAAAATGACTTTGCATTGAAATCCGCCGCAAAGTTTCACGATTCCTTCTCTTTTCCAAGGAGATGACCCTTTTACTGGGGATATAAACATCAGTTCCAAATGCTACATTAGATCAGGGAAACGATGTTGAAAGCAATGTCTCCAAACTACTCGCCATAATATCACCGGTTCGAAACTTCCCGAATTTTCGTGAGATGTGCATTGCATAGACTGACTTCACTTACAGGACGAATTTTTCATGGAGCCATCCAGAATTTGTTTCAAAATTATCTGTCATCTTCCCTGGTGACCACAATAAAGTCCCCGCATGGTTTCTACGACCGCAACACATTCGTTCGTTATTCACTATACTCAACAGACTTGGCTCCCTCATGTGGGAATTTACTGGATTCATCCCTAGAATGTTTCAAACTGTGCTGGCCGTTATATTGTTTCACGTTTTTCCTCTTACTGATTGATTTTTCGCAATTTCTTGAACAGATTTTTGATGTGATTCCATAAGATCTATGAACAGAGGACATTCTGTGGTCAGTGCGGCTTGGCTACGGCATTCGGCGGCTTTTTGTGTGCGTCGAACACGTTTGAACCGTCCTCCACCTGGAATTAGCAGAATGCTGGTAAGTCCACACCAAATGCGATTCCTCGCCACATCTTCTTGTCCACTATGCATTGAATTTTGAGAACGCCGAGTATACAAGAATTTGATGAACAACAGTTCTTTGCTACGCTCCAACTGGCCGGCAAATATCATTGTAGTGGCTGTATTGAACTCCCGCACGTCCAGCGGTTTTGATGTACCCTTGGTTCTCGAGGGGATTGTAGAATTTTCAAATGAGACTTCTTCCTGACAGTAAATCCAGTCTAGGTTGGAAATTTGAAAAATACGAAATGGTTTTTGATACATCATCTTCTTCACTCATGAGCAGTGCACAGTTCTGAGTTGAAACCATAACCTCCCTGTGAGTAGCCATTTGGCCACGAGCGGCTGATCAGCATTATGATTAACTCGCACTCAGATCGAATGTAGCTCCACACATCCTTCAGTCACGGGACCCATATCACGTGGTCACATATTGACTCGGGCCTTGAGTTGCGATATCACACACGGGAGTTTCGTTCGTTCTATGAAATCATGTTCCAGGCGGTCGCGTCTTCAACTTCCAATGAAATTCAGTTGGTATACATTCCCGATGAACCTCTCATAAGAATAAAACAGTTGTACAGTGCTTCTCATAGCTTTAGTCCAAAATGGCTTCAGTTTTAGGACAAAATTTAAATGGAAGTTGTGGTACAGCGCCCACCATTAGCACTCTCGGAATTCGGTCCTGCGTCAGAGACGCTGAAGACTATTTCGTGTGATTTGGAAGATGGTACATAACTCAGTAAAGCTTATCCGGAGTTGAGCAATTTGGGCCATTTGGTCTTTGTTGAAAAAAGGTGGACGCACTTTTTACGAAACATCTCTTACTCAACCACTTGTTTACTCTATATTGAACTAAAGTCTGTCGGCCATAAGTCTGTGGTTTAAGCCCAGAGGTTTTCGACGGCTGAACAAGCTATTTTCTATTAGACGGTACTTTAAATAGTGGAACAGGAGACGTTCTCTAGTAACCACTAAAAGCATAGTTGGCACTTGGCTATTAGTGCAGCCAAAAAATCGAACGGTTTCCGCCGGCGTCCAGTAAACTCAAAGAAACCACCTCGACCTCGTGATACTACTTGTTAACCAGCTCAATCTTATTCTAATCGACCTAAAAGTACCTTGATGTTGCTGCATCTGAAAAAAGAAACTAAAAATTTAAAAAGACCATTAGTAATACTTTCAAGCAGGCATTCTAATCTAACAAAAAAGGGGGAATTAAATTTCCGACCAGGCTTGCAAACATAGGAGAGCTGTCTAACCGGGCGAATTTTTAACTCATTGTGGTTCGTCGAATAAATTTGGATTGTATGATAGAAGCGGTCTAGCAACGAGTCTACAATCAACTGTAAAACTACTCCCTTTAGCTGTTTGTATATTTGTCTTGTACGGTCAGAATTCCACGCGATCTGTATCCATTTCTTCTCCGAATTGAATCCCAATTTTTGATGGCACATATCGAACCCAAACAGACAACATCGTTTTGAAAATAGATCCCACATGCCTGAACTCAAGCAGGTATTACCGCACATCTTGAAGGATTACTGATAGATTCTTTGCAGATTTAGGTGAGCAGATCATGATTATGTTGAATCACATTTAGCTGGCAGTTTTCCAGACTGTTTGATGAATGACCGGCGCAAGCTCAGAGTCAGGTTTGCAAGTCCAGAGGATCACTAGGCGACTACATTTGATTACTTGCATAAACTATCGTACAAACTAACCTTTGCTGCCAATAGCCAATGGCAAATCTCATTAGTGAGGACACTGTACGCCGTCCTGTTGGAACAATCATCCACAATGGTTATTAACATCCACGTTGATTCTCATCGACGGAGCCCATTGAGTGTTGACTATATTTTGAACTAATACCTATTGGCACACCGATCGATATTTATTCTGGATAACTTTTAACGTGCTCTGAATGCGTTTATAAGGTCCTTAGGATACATATACATAAGGGCAGCCCCAAGCTAATTCGCCTAACTACGTGAATTGCCTGTCACTATCCATGAGGATGGAATGGTGACACTTGTAACTCTGTTGAACACTCAGGCAAACCCAAATGATGCCTGGAAGCAGACATTCCACGGATCAGATTTTACGAGAGCTTGAAATACGTTTAAACCGACGATTTCAGTTTATTTTGCAACTAGTAGTATGCATACGACTTGCTCAACTATCCAAATACATTTCAAACATATCATATGTTTTGCATGGCCGTAAAGAACAACCCAATGACAATGGATCACAATTTCACGCCAACGATGTCACTAAATGCATGCACCCCAAACCTACTCCACTGAAAACTTTGCTCAAATGAAATAAACGTTCACAAATCTCCTGGTACTCGTACCAGAATTAGTGTGTCAGAGATTTGTTCAGCACTTGATAACTTGGTCAAGGCATCCGTGGTCCAAAAGGTAGAATTTTTATAGGGACTCTAACTGGGATAATTTCAGCTGCGCCACAGGCGTACGTCGGCAAAACTCTAATCAAATGAGATGGTGTTGATATTACAAGGCGCTATACCATGGACATCGGTCCTGTTGAAATACGATTGACTGTGCAAGGTGAGCGATATCGTTGGGAAATAGTTCACTTCGCTGTATCCTCTTGACCACCTATTGTGTTTCCCCTCATTCCAACAAGGCATTTTTTGACCACTTGTGTGCCAGATAAGCACGATGTAATGCTGCCGATGATGATGAGCATAGAATGAAATATCGACTCGACTGCATGGGAATCAAGATTCTGGTTGTCAAAACTGGATTAGGACGACTGTGTACTGAGAATTTTACCAAACGAATTGGAAATTTGGGCCGTTTCCGGGTTGAGGGTTGTCTCGTTGAACAACTAGGTCGAAAACCACAGCTATCAGATGGTGCACTTAGGTGAGTAACCAATAAAAGCACGATCCGTTTACAGTCTTGAACGTTGAAATTGACAACGATGGCCTAATTACAGATGTGTTTTAAGCAGAATGGAACATTTAACCTAAGCGGTTGGGATTGAACACCGTCAACTAATGAACACAAGTACCAACTAAAATTGCACTGATGCTTTAGTCGCCATGGTTAAACTATCTGAACCATAGGTGAAAGTCAGCATACTATGACTGGAGAATTGAACGCTTGTGCCTAAAGATACATTTTTTGGTGGCATGAAGGCGACGTATCTCGCTCAAAACAGTTTCACAGGTTGGATAGAATACGCCAGCTGTACTCTAGTCACGCACACATACGTCATGCTAGGCAACCAAGAGTCGAGTCTTATGTGTGCCGATTGTGAGATATGCGACAAAGAGACCATACTGGCTTTTACGAAAATACAAAAACACTAATTTTGTTATTCTTGATAATAGCAAAAGTTTGTTATCTGTGTGGGAAATTTTACGGACATAGAGGAAGGATGGTAAAAGACGCCTCTCCCTCAACTGATCGTAATTTCTGGCTAAAAACTCATTTTAAAATTTGGCAAAACCTACCAGCAAAATAATGTGTTGGTCACGCAACCTACATGATTTTGTAGATTATTATGCTGTAGGTGTTGAAAAGATGGAGTTCTGCAACCCGAAATCTGTCATCCTGTTGCTCTCCAGTTTTAATTTGTAATTAGGAAGGTCTTTTCGTGGAAAACACAAAATATGTTACAATCGGAAAGAAAGCATCAATCCAACCAAAATAATTGTACCGAGATGAAAACGTCCAAATGCGTTATGTTCTGATTCAATGATTATAGTTTATTACCAATCAGTTAATGCACAATCTATTCTAAAATACTAATAAATTTGAAGTTCCTGTTGCTATGGATGGGTCATATAAACTTGAAGCAGGCTTGAAAATGCCCAGGGATTATCCCCATAGCTTAAGCAATAGATTCGGTTAGCGGGAGCATACTGTGTCTCAGGTGTCAAACGGAGTTTTCAGTTTTGTAAAACCTCTGAGCAGAATATCATTTCAGCAAGTTGCGCCGCAAATAATCAATCTGCAGCCAAACGCTCAGAAATCTCAAACGTATGCCTAGGTTCCACTTTTCTGGATTATTCATATATTTGTGTTTTGAATGAAAACCTTTCACGGACTTGTGACATACGCACCGCCTAAAATTCACAGTTATTTTAAATTACTTATCCAACGTTACAAAACCTTTGCACATTGTTATTTTACGAAGTGTATACAAAAAATGCCTACATATGGACACAACTTACCAAATCGTCTTCACGGAATGCGAACAAAAGGCACTCTAATGAGGCCGCGTTTCCATGATCGGGAGCATAAATGCTTCAGACCGGTTAAGAAGTCTTTTCGAATCGTGAGAAGATGTGAACATCACATCGAATGGTTACACTGTGGCACTTCAATTGGCAATGCAATACACCCAGAAAACCTAGCCAGATTTCTTCTGGCAAAGCAAAGCCGAAAAAATACTCAAAACTGTTTACCATCTGGTGCCTGTTCATTGTCTATAGCTCTAGCGATTTCCAACAGCCAAATTACATAGGAATTAATGGTTGACGTCAGCTGATGCATATATATATATATATTGGTTGGATAACCAATAAAATGTTTTAGGTCAGAATAATAGGAACAAATCACGTTAATTTGCCACGAAGCCACTGGCGACACCACGAAGCCACCGGCGACAAAGTCAACTGCGGCTTCGAGCTGAGGAACAAAGACCAAATTACAGGACTATGTAAGTACCCTATTAATCCAATAATTCAAGTAAAGAAAACCTGAAGAATGACGTAAGCTGATCGGTTCAGGAAGCTGATCAGCGGAAAAGAAATAACAATACATAGGACAAAGATACAGTCTTTGATCAATTTTCCAGTGGATAGTCAATGCTATTCTTGAACAATTAGCCTCAACAAATTATTCGAGAAATACACTCATTCGCAAATCAGTTTGGTTTTCACGAGTGACTCAATTGAATCTCTTGTTCGAGTAGAACATAAGGTTGACGGAAACTCGGGGACTGCGCCTAGCTGATGCACCCCAAGAAGGGTAGGCCGGTCATGGGCTGTCGAAGAGTTTTCAGCAACTTTGTGAGTAGTTTCCTCAAAAAAGTGCTTGTAACTGCTTCGTGCATTAACACCCCTAAAGAGGAACCAGTTGAATTTTATTGGCATCAAACGATGAACCGCGCACAGATCTACAATTCTTTTACAAAAACGCTAGCTTACATGGTTGTACAATGCAAAATACAAAAAGTATTTTTAAAATTAGGTCTTCTGCGAAAAATATATTGTATTGGAAAAGCTGGATACGCTTTTGTCTACGTGTGTCCTGAGAGGGGCGCCTAAATCCACTCGTAACTAAATGATCCGATGGATGTTGAAGTACTTAAGCACAACGCGATTCAAGCATGAACTTATTCAACATGAAATCGTTAACCGATAACTGACAAAAATAAATCGATCGTACCAGGGTATCGTTATATTGGTTTCTATTGATGACTGATTATTATGAGAGCAAGTCTAGCAAATGTTATGGTCGTTAGAGTTAGGACATTTAAGTCTGGCAGTTCAATATGTACGTAACGTTATGCGTGCAATCCAAAATGTTCATAGTCACACCGCTCTCGTTTGAACGGTCATCCTTGCGTTCTGGTGTAATTGTTCCGGTGATTTCACATCAAAGGGAAACACTGGACTTGCATTTCGCTCTTATTAGAGCTCATCAGCAGTGCATATCCAATGAACGTGCCGGCATTTGAACCCCGAACATCTGAATGAGAGGCAAACGTGTAATCACTACTCCACCAACACGCGCTTTTCTGGACAACGTCAAACAAACACTATGTGATGATTGCTAGCTTCAAACCCGTGCTTTTTAGAATATTCTCACCGACGACAATTTCTATGGTTATGACGGCGTTGCTATGGGTGATTTGAGTTAGTGGGTTAAAATGTTTAGTCCACAGGTGAGTAACACCTTTCCAAGGGCCGCAGCGCTAAAAAAATATAGCCGAACCACACATCCATCATCAGTTTTGTGTCGCAAAGTGTAAACCTCCTGATCAATGGCTTTGCTATGTCTCTTAGTTGACAACCTGAAAGTAACACCACGTTGTTATTCTTTTTTTAGGCAGACCTATTCTGCTCCACCCTGCATGCTCTCGGTGTTCAATTGTATGTTAAAAATAGAAGATCCAATCCAACTTTTGTTGACACGACGCATTCCTGATACTGCTTTGTATGTTCTCGTTCTTGTTCGTCGCGTCGAAAGGTACTGACAGTTGTCGGTCTTCTTGTGTTGATGATTGAATTCCGTACTCAGTCAAAGTGAAATCTGACAGCACACAGTATTCCATTGGTTGGAGGATTCTTATCGGAACCGGTCATTTTGGTAGATTTATTTTATTTTCCCAATACGCACTGCATGTTTGACATGGCCACATGTTGATGAAGGAAAATGGGCTGTCCTTGATTTCTTTGCAATCTCAGAAGAACGGCGTGTTTCCGCAATCACATCGACCGCGGACCCACAGGAAGCAGACCGATACATCTCAGTCCCACATGAGATCCACAGGTTGCCAGCAACTCTGGAAAATTCTTTCCTCATAAATGTATGGAAAAGAAACTAACTGTTGGGAGAACAAGCGCCAGGTGTCACACTTTTGTCACATCGTTAGATCCAGGGCTCTGGAAGACGGTTCTGTAACACCTCAACATCTCTTGCAACGTCCATTAGGATGATCAAAGTACAGTACTACCAAATGGTTTTCTTGTATGTTTTTTTAAATTTCCAGGTGCGAGAGGCCATTGGTTACAAACTTTGGACATATGTGACCAAAGTAGACTATACCTGGCATGAATCGATCCCACATAGAAATGATGTGGTTTACACGTTGATATCTCTCTGAATGAACAGGAGTGTTTTCCGATAGTTTTGCTCATAAATGATTTCGATGGAATGATCCTCCGAGCATTTATGGACAACTATCAGCCATACTTCACACAGGAAACCCAAAGACCTCGAAGCAACATAGACTCTAGTTGTTGTGACGTTATCTCTGCAGGGTGGTGTAAACTGATTTCGAGGCGTCATCTTATATGATTCTGTCAGATAACTAGTAATGTTAGCGTACTGGCTTCCAATGCATAAAATTTAGGTTTGCCGGTCTAGATAACCTAAGGTCGTAAAAAACGCATGTACTTAAATTTTTTTTAAATAATAGTAAACTTTCTTGTTATGTGATACAATTCAACCCGGAATAGGCCATCTAATTCCTTGTTTTTCATCCCGCGTTTTCAACCTTCTATTAGTTGGAAGACAGTACTCAACGGAAATGTCAGCGTGATTGTCCGACTTTCTGGAAGGTACTGCTCGTTGAGATTAATGCTTACAAAGAGGAACATGGACAGCGTTTCTTTCTTTCGGAAGAAAGTCAAAAACCGAGAAATGTTAGGTCGTTAGGCAAGAGCTAAATAACTGTTGGTTTCTATACCCATTTTTTGACGAATACAAAACTTCCAACTTGTGATCATTGTTCTGCCCCGATTTTCCAACATTTGCATGATTAGGAGAGTTTGAATGAATTATGTGGCTGACATTAGCGAAAGTAGCCGGCCCATTTTTCTTTCAGTAATTGTTGCACACCCTTTTCAAGTGCTTTGGAAGGACTTAAAAAATAACTTTTTAAATTTAAGGATTTGCTTTTAGTTGTATACCACGAAACATTCTAGATACAACCACTGCATTACGTTCGTGTCAATTCAATTCGTTCAATTCTGATCACAAATTTTTCGGAGCAGTTGCAAGATATTTGAGTGAATTCTACAAGCACTGTACTCAGAAGCTGATATATGGATTGATAATTTACGTGGTAGCTTACTGAAGTTGGAAAATATACAATCTTTTAAGCAATATTTTGAAATTATTCCTATTACGCTCGGTGCAAAAATTTCATCTCCATCGAAAACAGTATAAAAAATATTCTTCAAGTTTCGAACCAGTGAGGAAAGCTTGAATTTGGAATCAGCACTGTTGTACAACTTGCATTTGTAAGGAAATCGCAAGCCAAGATTCCTGTTCCCTATTGTGGGGAAGAATAGGTAGCAGAAAAAAACGCCGTTTTGCTAATGATTGTTGTCTGGACTACCTCAAAAATGCAACGCCTTACAATAGTTGTGGTTCGTTTTGAATACCCAACTCTTGGAAAATGTTACCTGAGGATGCAAGAAAAAATGCGGGTATTTCAAACCTGTGTCATATACGCCACTACTCGTTTGCAAGTGTTTCGGGAGTATTTTTAGCAACGGTTCACTTGGAGCCTTACGTTAGACAGCAGATGGATGCAAGCGCGAGTGGATCAACGGATCGTCTTTACGGGATGGCCCTTATTTGATTATTACTCCACAGGAGACTGAACAGACACTCCTGGTAATCTCATTGAATTACCGGTAGGGTGCAGTATTAAAACGGAAGGCTTACATTTAAGTGTGAATTATTCCGATGAGACAGACTAGTTCATTTGCCTTTCTCCTAGCTGCAGAATTTACCGAACAAACAGGTGCTACTCGATAACAGGATCGCGCAAACGCCCGATGTTGTGACAACAGTGTTGAAATGCAAGCGGTTTACTTGCCCACCTTATTTCTCTTGTCTTTCATCCGAAGAGATTCAGTCACACATGGCATCGCCTTCACAGACCCTGATCCCTTATCTGACAAGTAACCTCCGGAGACTAAAAGATTGGGAGACCCACAAAATACCAGGCACAACCTCATCCAGGGAAGGGGCTAACAGAATCTAATGGTGTGTTCATTGAGGCACACACTAAAGCGAGTGGTTTGATGACCGAAATAAACAACTTTCCAAATTATATAGCCACTTTCGATCCTAATCGTTTCCTATTGTATTCTTGGTGGAACCTTTCCGATTAGTGTACACTGAGCATTGTGGTGCTCAAATGACCGAACAAGCGGATCGCTGACAAAAAGTCAGGTAGAGGAACAACTTAACAACCCGTATTTGACCGGTCGTCCTGAAAATGAAAGCCTGGAGCTAATATGCTAGCATTATTTGCACTCACCATTCCAAAGTAAAACCACATACTATTCAGGGCAATGTTTTTTGTATACTCATCAGCACATTCAGTTGTAGAATACCATAAACGAGAGATTCAGTTGAATATCTTATGAAAACCAAATTGATTTGCAAATGAGTGTATTTCTCGAGAACAGTCCAATTTGGGTTCAAAAAGAACATGAGGTTGACGGAAACTCGGGGACTGCGCCTACCGGATGAGCCCGAAGCAGATGGGCGAAACCGGTCATGGGCTGTCGGAGAGTTTTCAGCAACCTTGTGAGTAGTTTCATTTATGATAACATAATGCAAATGAGTGTATTTCGCTGATTTCGTGCAATTAGGTTTCACGTAGAACATGAGATTGACGGAATCTCGCGAACTGCGCCTACCTGATAAGCCCAGAGCAGAACGGCGAAAGCGATCGTGGGCTGTCGAAGAGTTTTCAGCAACCTTGTGAGTAGTTTCCCTTATGAACAAGCTTACTCATAACTCTATTTGGCCTCAAAGGTTAAAGATTTGCCGTTCTGTGGCAAATCGATCTTTTCAACTGCATCGGTGATGACCAGATGAAAATTCTAAATAAATTTTTAAAAAATAATTTACTTATGAAACTAGAAGTCAAGGTTATATGTAGATTTGGGAAATAGGTTCATAGAGTAAATGCTTTCGTTTACCAACGATTTAGTCTGCGAAAAGAGAGCATTTAACCTCGAATCAAAGTATGAGAATAGCCTAGCCCATGACGTGAACCAAATGAAGGACCGTGACACTAGATCTTGTGAGGTTTCAAACTACTACTATGTTGCACTTCTTAGTCTACACTTCAGTCACAAAGCACGCCAAACGGATTTCTCGCATCCCAAGAAAATCAATCAGTCGGAGAGACAAGAAGCCGTTTAATAAATCCACATAAGGTTTGCATATTTGTTAGACAAGACCAGATGCCAAAAGTTGTGAATAGGGAAGACAGGCCTGCGCCCAAAGCGACAAACTTCCTCGTTCGGGTGAAAATGGAAGTCACATTTAATTATTTTTGACAAGATAAGCTATTCAGTTCATATAATGATGTCGGCGTCACAGCACGCGTCACGTCACGCCTACGAGAAGGAACTGAGTGAACACGTTTTCGTTTTACAGTGGGACTTATGGAGGCTTTTGTTCTAAATTTCCATTCAAGTTAACGGCAGTTCACAAAAGTGGTTCTGTACGCTTCGGTATCTATTTCTGAATTAACTGCTTCCAATATTTGTCCTATGAGTAATCGACTCACAATTTCATCAGGGAGCTCTGTGGTAACATGTGGACCAATCACAAGACTTCACTGATTTGAAACTACGCGTTATCTGTTGCTGTACAGACCACCTGTCAAACGGTTCTTAGATAAGCATAGCCGAGTCAAGGGATGACATTCTCTATTAGGTTGACATGCCAAAAACGCTCGCTGAACAGTACAGGGAAGACAAAATACAAATGTGTCAACACCGGAACAAATCAAATGATTAATTTATTCATTTGGTTAGGAATGCACAACAGCGTCGAAAAAATCCATTGCTTGTAGTTTATCTAGCGCAATTGGGAGTGAGAAGGCTCTCGAAGAAAATTACTTATGCACGAAGGAGGGACTTTAAGTGGCTCTGAGAAGGTGCATAATTAAAGAGTTGTGTCACGAAGTCAAAAACGTTTGTGTCCACTATTGAGGCTGCTGTTTGGAGATGTGCATTCCGGGTATTAATGGAACCTTAAAAATATTTTTAGAGTTTAGAGTCCACGGACAACTAACATGTTTCCGTTTGATGAACTCGTCACAACCTTGTTACGTAGGATTCTGATTATGCAAAGACATCAAACATGTACTGACCGTATACAATTGAAGGGTGTTAACACGAAACATCGCCTTTCCGGCGATTGTTGTCACAAGTCGAACGCCAATAAATCTAAATCTGCGTTGAATATCAAGGTCACGACACTTCATCACTCGCTTATCATCCTCTTTCCGCCGACTAACTTAGAAGGGATTCGATGCGGATAGAAGGTGAGTTGTGATGTTAAAAATTAGGTGACAGAAATAAAAAAGCAGTCATTTGAGTGAAGTCGTTAAGACATGGGTGACGGAACGGAGTGGAATGATGAATCGCTCCAGCTTTACGAAACAGTTGAGCGACGGATTATTTTCCGACGGAGTATCTGGTAAAAATTAATTCCGAATACAAGCACAGCAGCTGATAAACAGAGAGATTTCAAATCAGGTTTAGTACTCCAAAACGCATCACTCCCCAGGATTTTGAAAGTTTCTTTTCAATGTCAGCACAGCAAATTTAAATCAGTTGGTGTACTAAGTATTGCAGGTCTTCATTAACTAAGTACGTCTTTCCATGTATACAAACAGTTGATCCCACTCCTTCCTTAGAATGGAGTTCCTATCCATTCCAAGTTTTCACATAATGCCTTCCATTCGTGATAATATATCTTGCCAATTGCAATCCAGGTTGTCCCTACGTGCCTACTCGCACTACTTGATTGTATCGAGTTTATTGATTTTAAGCCAAGCAGCACCGGTAAATCTGATTGGTTCAAAACATCCGATAGGTGATGTAGCATTTTCTGCTCTCCAGATAAGCCATTATCAGCTGGCATCTGCAAACACTCTGTTAGCTAAGGTTGCAAAATCCTTTAATCCTCCAAGAAAATAAATAATGTTTCGCGTGCCCGGGTAATGGTTTAGTGAGGTCACGTATCCAAGATGAGCTTAATTCAAAACGCAGTGCAAAATTTGAGACTGCTGAACAAGGAGAAAAATGTTACCGAATTCGAATAAACCATTGCTCCTCAAATAGAGTTCAGTTGACAATACAACACATGAATACTTGACTCCACGACTTAACAACGACAAAGTAGCCAAAAATAGACGGTCACGCTAGCTGTTTGACGCTTTGCTTTCTGGAGCAGATCAATCAAAATGACTAACAAACACTTTCACGTATACACTGAACCTCGCTCAATTTTTTAATCTTCAAGGGTTGACACAGGTGTCCCGCGAGTTTCCAACAGTTTCATCAACTTCCGTTCGCTTGAATCTAGTTATCCTGGCTGAGTCCGGTCCGTGTTACCATAGTATTCCGACAGACACCCTCAAACAGCTACCACTGATGTGCATTGGGGGTGTCACTTACAAATTCTTGTCGGAGCTCTATCAACAAGTCCACGTTTTTGCAATGGACAGCTGTGTAGGCCCAGTTCAAGCCCTTTTCCCTAAAAAAAGCTAAAAGCAGCTTGCGTTGTGCATTCCCAAAGTGACCTGCAATTGGTCCTTAATAGATAAAAATTTTGTGGTATCAAGAGACACGGAAACTGCTTGTCAGCTCATTCAAAGACTGAAAAACGTTTACTCAAATCTTATTGTAACATAAAACGGAAGTAAGAAACTGACACGGTTGGCAGAGTTGGAACAATCGAATCTGTCGAAGGGATCACATCGATAAATGTTTTCTGCGATCTGACCCGGCTGGAGCAGAAACAGAATTACATCGGATACTCACGCTCAACTTTGTTTGTAATAATTTGAAATTCTCACGTCAGAATGAAAAGGGCGTTCCCCTCACGTCAAAGACGTTAAACGTAGCAGGCGTGACAAAACATGTGTTCTAAAGTTTCGCATTACAACCATTGGAAACAAATTGATCAGGAACTTCACTTTGGCTCTTAAACTCCCTTGAACAACAGGTTATATACTCACCTACTTCACATGTGTTACTTTGTCTTGGAAGTTGCCAACAAATTGTCCTTTAATTTAATGGTCTTGGTACTGAAGCGACAATACGAAACGCCATCACCGACCAATCTTTGTGATCTTACACAGTCAGAAACTAAACCCTAGCGGAGCAGACAAAATGAACATAGCACAGTATGTAGAAGCATATAAAAACACGACTAGCGGAAATGACTGGAGCCCGATCACCTGACGTTAAGACAAAATTGAGTGACCGATTCAGGACGTGTTTTGATGTATTGTTGATGATTCTTTCTCAATAGTCATCTCAACTTTGTTCATCCAGCAAGTTTCAACTTTACAATCGATCGAAATGAAAAATAATTCTATTTCCGTTGCAACTTCGTAGGATGGAGTTCAGAGAGTGGTAAGTCAGAAAATGAAAAAAATTCCTGGGAACTTTCTAGTATTGATGGAATTTTGAGCCAAGAGATTTTACAATAATTTGTTTTTCTATGATAAAGAATATAAATCAGGATTTTGCTGGAGTGATCTAAACAGGAGCAGGACGGGATTAAGAACGCCACTTCAGTAGACATTCAGTGGTTGAACTGGGGAGGATCAACGAAATACGCAGTTCGGACCGATCAATAAATTTAAAAAGCGCTCAAACGGGAACAATTTTTTGTCAGTGAAACCTCGGGTGCATCTAAGTAGGCCCAGGTAGATAGACTCATAAGCCAACGTACCTATTCGTATCGCATATGACTGTGCACTCGTCTTGTAACGTCCCCTGCGACAGTCAAGCAACGATAGGAAAATCGATCCAGACAGTCTTATATTGACTGTGTAGATAACGTGAAACGAGTCGTATTTCTGGTAGTCACGTGACCAATGTCAATGATGTATGACGCAGTCGAGCTTCTGTCCCAACCGCTGAGCGTCAAGATTTTTCGGCAAGTTTGTGTATTACTTTTGTTCAGATACACAGGTTGTACGTATTTGGACGGGTCACACTGGCGGAATTAATAAGTATTCAGTTGTTCACAGAAAGACATTTTGACTTTCACAGTAAGCCTGGAACATCTAACTAGGAGAATGTACACCCAGAAACACTGCGAGAGCTCAGAAGCCAACCGACTGGGCTGTAAAGGACAGTTTGAAGCTTAATTAGTGAGTTTTACAGTGCAAGATATTTTACCATATGATCAAGACTGATAGGCATCGAACTTCGGTATAAGCGCTTTTACGATCTTGATAATTTTGAAGCAGGTTCAGAAAACAACGCTGACTAAAATAGTGATAAAATGCTGGGGCTTGCCATCACTAATTTGAATGTATAAACTTACCAGTCGTTCTACATATATGTGAAACAAGCATCAAAGAAAGCCAAAGAAAACGGTTTATTTTCATAAATGAAGCTACTCACAGTTATTTGATGAATGTCTCCATCCAGCTGATAGAGCAATACGTCAGTTGTAATGAAAACAGTATCAAACATTTTTAGTGTCACTGCTTTGGACGCAAACGCGTTGTCAACTACAAAGAATGCACACTCCGGAGAACTCAGGAACTATTGGGTTATTGCAGGAAAGTTGAAGTACTCACCTATTGTGTTGCCAGATCCTAGGAAGTTACACTGGTCTAGAATCATTGCCAGTTCTTGCCTGAATGATTTCAAATGTAGCAGTAAACTACTGGGACTTAGCCATTTGACCAAAAAAAGAAACGGCTTACGTCCCTTATATTTTTCAGCAGAAACTGACTTGTCACCTTTGTCTTAGCTCTTGTCAGCTGTGTCGTCGTAGGCATTCGTCTAGCCGCACGCTGAACACCAAAACGGATATTGCGTCAAAAATGCAACCGATGTTGCTAGGTGTCCCAAACAACAACAACAACTCAATAAACTCATTAACTCTGACGATTCACGAGTCTCCATATATTTATCGACATAAAATGTTAAAATCTAGCCAGGGTCCTCTCGCTTTATCTGGATATTTTATTTCTTTGCATGGCTTTTTCAGAAGGATTCAAGGAATGATTTTTGAGAGATCCCGTTGAGTGGAACACCCAGGTGTGTATTCATGGCAATTCAGAAGTGTCAAATGAATTTCACCATACGCGATCCCCTACCAGAATGATAAGACTTCCATAATTTTGCGAATCGACCGACGAGTAAATTGTTTCACACGACAGAAATGAATAAGCAACCTTCAATAGCGTTTGCTATCATCTTCTTCTGTCTAGTCGAGGTACTGGGATGTACCAGTCTTCGGTACCGGAGGTCGTAATCCGTAGACTAAAAAAGGTCCTTAGATCCTTAACTTACCCTGTGATCAAGAAAACCGCTATTGCTTTCCATGCTGTGCCATTGATAAACAAACAGAAGAACTACCACTCATTGGCAAATCAATTTGCTTTTCACGAGAGACACCTGAATCCCTCGTTTATGATAATCTCGAATATCGTGCCAACTGAATTATGAGGTGGCCTGTGTGCAGCACATTCAGTTGTAAAATATCATAAACGAGAGATTCAGTTTAATCCCTCGTAAAAACCAAATTGATTTGCAGATGAGCGTATTTCGCTAATTTCGTGCAATTAGGTTTCAAGTTGAACATGAGATTGACGAAAACTCGGGGACTGCGCCTAACTGATGAGCTCAAAGCAGAAGGGCAAAACCGGTCGTGGGCTGTTGGAGAGTCTTCATCAACTTTGCGAGTAGTTTCCTTTACAAAAAGGAACTGCCAGTTATTGTGTTTCGCACTAAGGAACGAACAATCATTTTTGCGATTAATGTGATGAGAGGAATCCTTCTTGGCTATTACAAGATGCAGGCTGTCTCACGAATGCCAGTTATTTGATGAATGTCTCCATCCAGTTGACAGAGCAATACGTCAGTTGTAATAAGAACAGTATCATACATTTTTAGTGTCATTGCTTTGGACACAAACGCGTTGTCAACTAGGAAGATTGCACACTCCGGAGAACTCAGGAACTATTGGATTCATGCAGGAGAGTTGAAATACTCACCTATTGTGTTGCCAGATCCTAGGAAGTTACACTGGTCTAGAATCATTGCCAGTTCTTGCCTGAATGATTTCAAATGTAGCAGTAAACTACTGGGACTTAGCCATTTGACCAAAAAATCGATTGCACATGCATAGTCTGCCACTAGTTAATCTCAGTGAAGTGAGCTGAAAACGTATCGTTCACCAGTGCGCAGCCGGTAACCTGTCAAGTTGACTGAGCTTTACAGTACTAAACAAAATATACTTGTTTATTCCCCAATTGTTGGCCCATACATCAGTCATATCTAGCCGGCCGACTTATCACTATTGCCAGATTAGTCATTAAACATTGAAGATACTATTTTGACTCGGGAGGTGTGGTGAGATTAGGAAGATCGTTCTTGAGTAAAATAAGATACTGATGTTAAGATGAAAGCCTAATTAAATTATTCATAATGGTAAAAAAAAACGGTTATCTGGTTTCCAAGCATACGCAGAATCATTGAGATACACCGTACCGCCCATGAGACCTAGAGCTTTTCGGTTACTGAAGGATGTTTGAAGGGTTGTAACTTACTCCATTCCAGTTTTTGATCAGTCAGTCAGTATCATTCCAATGAGCAGCTAACAGAACAATGTAGTAACATTTTGAAAAATCAATTAGAGCATTTGATGGTATGTTTCAAGCGCCGTGATTTGATAGCAGACACCATTGAAATAAAAGTGGGGTGGAATTCTAGTTGGAGAACAAATCGTCTTTAATCTACGTACAAACTTGCGACTTTGTCAGACCGGATCGACTGAATCACTGTCAGTTATTTTTTGGGTAAACCAAAATTGAGAAACAGTCAAGTCACAGCGCGACACTTTTCGTTAATTGTCAGTGCATAGATACCAGATCATGAAATCTCTCCGTTATCCATACCGTAGGTAACCTTGGTGTTCTCAGTAACACCATACAAACTGTTCAAAATAATTCGGATGTCACTAGATGGGATCTCATCAGTGCACTAGGTTTGTAACTTCACCAAACTGCATGCAGCAAAGAGGATATTCATCAACACGTTTGACATACCATCTTGGTTGTCGTCCTTCATTCCAGTAAGGCCATCTTCGTTTTTTCCTCAGTTCTGTCATTCGAATGTACTTTTTCCGACAAAATATACTCACGACGAACAGTGGAACATCCGATGGCTCAAAAACAAAACAAGAATTTTATCTTTGTAATGTACTACTCATTAGGTTGCTGAAAATCCGTCGACAGCCCACGATCGGTTTCGCCCTATTCGGAACTCAACTCATAGGCGCAGTCCCCGGGTTTCCGTCAACCTTATGTTCCTTTTGAAACCAAATTGCACGAAATTTGCGAATATACACTCATTTGCTGACTAACTTTTTAAATTTCCCAGTCCTCTTTTACTGTCACTCCTTCCAGTGGCCTTTAAAAACACTCTGACGACATCATCGTTGTTGGAAACAAAACAGGCGAAAAACACATTGTGAAGAAAGTCACTTGTTTGTTTTGCCTGGGAAAAAATGTTGGGTGATTTTTCTAGTTTGCCCACAGTGATAAAAAAACCGCGTGCGGAACTGTTGTTTGTCTTGGAACACCGGGTATTTGTGTACTCGCGTAACGAATTCGGATAATTTATGACCCATTACTAACGGTCCCATGAGTCAAGCATTTAGCATCTAAAGGGGATGGGAGTAACTGCGGCAATGACCGAGCACATGACGGTCACATGTGGAGCAACGGAACAAAATCATTTGTGTGTTTTCTGTTTGCCCCACTATTTCCCATGACAGAGAACTAATAAATCGGTGTGTGAAAAAAATGATGTAAATATAGGCTGTACTATGCCCGTTACGGCACGACATGCTAAATGATCGCAACCGGGTGAAAAAAAGTTGCAAAGCATTTGGGAGAAACTAGCTGACTTAGAGATCTTCGAAATACACTGTAGACTGCCTGTTGGAACGGATCGATTGCGAGGTTAACATAATTTATTGGAAAATCTGTCCAATGGGGTAGTGCAATATGAAACTTAAATCACCGAAATGGTATTTGTCACGTGACCTGGAACAGACAACAAGGCAAAACATGTGTGATTTGTACACTGTAACCGCCGATAAATGTATACTACAATATCATTTGCTAGTTCTTTGACTAAAATGTTATGTTGTCAAACTCGTTGCCGATAGAAGTGTCAGGTGGGCATTTTTTGAAAGGTTCCCCCACAGATGATCGCACCTTCGACGTTCTCATTCTGAACAAAAACCGTCGTGCCGAAAAAACGATTCAAGTTATTTGGAAACACGGAGTAGGGTAACCAAGAAAAGCTGTAAAATACCCAATAGTTGATAGCGAAAAGCTTTCAACTGTGCAACAGTTTTTCTCAGACCTACATGATACCATCCTTTTTTGGTGGGAAATCATACAATGCTCAAGCAATAACTGTGCTCTATGCTTAGTCATAAAACATCGAAAATAAAACAACTTTTCACCAACATTTCTAAGGACTGACCATCTGAAACTTAATCGAAGTGAAGCAAACGGCTATGAACTGAGAGGAGAAAAAATTTGACATATTCCCGACTAATAAACAGAAAATCTAATTCGACAGTTTAACTGAACTCAGTGAGGGAGCAATGGAGTCGGATGAAGCGAGTTTGTCGTCCTCACTCGAGAATCGATGCATTGCTTGTGACACAATGAAAAAATAGCTTTTTCTCTTCCGTTCACACTTTTCATCCACTTACTGAATCCCAAATTTCCTTCCTTGCTCCGAGATAATATTTCCTGGTCAATGTGTGATTGACGCGAGTGAAAATTCCCCACTAGTCGGAGGAATTCTTTTTTGTCAGTGGGCCCAACGAGGCCAGACAATATAGACTTCTGTCATCTGAATTTAAAACAAGAACGCTGGCTGGACAAGTAGACATATGTGGTAGTGCCACACCCATCAAATTTTGTTTTAACATTGGTCAATCGATTCGATGAATTTGTTCACATGGACATTCCAACATGTATGTCAAACGTATGTTATTTACCTGCTAGTTGCCTGCTTGTCCAAGAATGCTGAAATACCTTTTAAATGCCAGTACTCTCAGAATTGGCAATACGAATTTAGGCTATCGAAGGTTTGCTTCGAATGTGGAAAATAAAGCCACTATTTGAATGTTGAAACAGTACACTGCGTTCATCCGGTTGCCTAAGATAACCGTTTTATAAATAGGAATGTTGACACAGAGGAGTGGCCAGGAGTACCTCCAGTTCAGGTAGTGCAATCCTACTATCATTTCCTGGCAAAATCGATTACCAGATGCATGACGGTTTTGTGACAAAGCGTCGCAACCTTCGAGCTTAAAAAATTGTTCAGTTTGTAGTGTTGAAGATGTTTTATCAAAATTTCGGATCTTTTCCAGATAAGCCCCGCCAATAATGCAAAAAAGTGCATGTGCGAATAGTTAAGCCTTGCCACATTTGCCAACCCCATTTAATGTACGCACCTAACCTTGACCCATTTTTGATGAAAGCAATTCCGCATCTAGGCTCATTTTGACTTGCGACTTTGTGAGACCGGATCGACTGAATCACTGTCAGTTATTTTTTGGATAAACCAAAATTGAGAAACAGTCAAGTCACAGCGCGACACTTTTCGTTAATTGTCAGTGCATAGATACCAGATCATGAAATCTCTCCGTTATCCATACCGTAGGTAACCTTGGTAACCTAGGTAACCTTCTCAGTAACACCATACAAACTGTTCAAAATAATTCTGATGTCACTAGATGGGATCTCATCAGTGCACTAGGTTTGTAACTTCACCAAACTGCATGCAGCAAAGAGGATATTCATCAACACGTTTGATATACCATCTTGGTTGTCGTCCTTCATTCCAGTAAGGCCATCTTCGTTTTTTCCTCAATTCTGTCATTCGAATGTACTTTTTCCGACAACATATACTCACGACGAACAGTGGAACATCCGATGGCTCAAAAACAAAAATTCTTCTTTATCTTTGTAATGTACTACTCATTAGGTTGCTTAAAATCCGTCGACAGCCCACGATCGGTTTCGCCCTATTCGGAACTCATCAGGTAGGCGCAGTCCCCGGGTTTCCGTCAACCTTATGTTCCTTTTGAAACCAAATTGAATTGCACGAGCGAATATACACTCATTTGCTGACTAACTTTTTAAATTTCCCAGTCCTCTTTTACTGTCACTCCTTCCAGTGGCCTTTAAAAACACTCTGACGACATCATCGTTGTTGGAAACAAAACAGGCGAAAAACACATTGTGAAGAAAGTCACTTGTTTGTTTTGCCTGGGAAAAAATGTTGGGTGATTT